GATCTATTGTGACATATGACATCGGCTTATATTGTTTGTGTTTACGGGTGGGCGAGCGGGCGGGCGTACGCTACGTCATCACCAAATTTTCTCGGATGGATAGTTTACCAAACTTTGTCACCCATGGTGCTCCGCTGCGCGGGCTTCGCGCGCGCGAGAGCTGCGCTATTATACTCTGCAGGTTATTGATCTGATTGGTCAATTACGTCGCGATGTTATTGGTCGTCTGTCAGTTAAGCCGTGATGTTATTGGCTATGAAGACTCGTAATCAGTAATTGGTGGGTTCGATCCGTCTATTGTTAATCAAATTGTCATTCTCTAGCTCGTAGTTAGTTTTGCTTGATCTCGTCAATAAGTCGTTTGTACGGCGCAAGGCTACTACTATCCGGACTCTGACGAGACAAGCGCAACTAGTTCGCGACTCACCTGACAGCCTACAAGACGAGACTGATTATCTTTACAACGTTTTTAGTAAGAACAATTACAACGCGTACTTTGTTAGACGGAACACTCACAGTAACACTGATTCCAACACTCAGATCAACCCTGGCCCTGTTACGACAACGACTATAACCGTACATTAGAGGCACTTCTGAAACTATTGCACGTATATTACAACCTTACAATATACGTGTTGCACACAAAACGATAACCACTCTACGGCGACTGCTTACTAATGTCAAGGACAAAGACAAACCGGAGGACAGACAGGGAGCAGTATACAAGATCAAATGCTGCGACTGCCAGGCTTCTTACATTGGCGAAACCGGCAGAAACCTAGGCACGCGACTGACCGAACGCAAACGAGCGACGAAGAATGGTGACGTCAACAATCACATTGCTGAGCACCATTTAAAGACGAAACATCAAATTGACTGGGACATGTATAACGTATTCTACAGACTACTATCAACTTCTTACTGTAGAAAGCTGGTTTACTAACTTAGATCAAACGCCACTGAATCGTAGCCAACAGTTACCAGCGCCGTACAAACGACTTATTAGGGAGTTTAAGATACGGCGACCACGGACTACGGCTACGGTTAAACATGCTACTGCGCATGATCAAAACCACGTGACTGTTCATTTTTCCCACGCAGTCCAGCGGCTACGGTGAGTTGTTGAGCTGTTTCGCGTACTCGGGACTACGGAGAACATTTTGGTCGTATTTTGCCGTTTCGGTAATTCAAGAATCTCGTCTTTTCGTAAAAAAGGTTTTCAACTCACCTGCTTTAAGCGAGAGGGAAGCGAAATATGTAAGTTGTGTCTAATTTCTGCTCAGATTTACGCTTTTAATCCACTGTTGTGACTACATTTTTATCTAGCTAAGCTTAGAATTCAGATTGACGGCCGAGGAGAAGAGAAATCATGCAGGTAATTTACTTTCTCTTCGCACTTGAAAAGTTTCAATGTTTGTTCGAACTGATTAGTGTGTCTTTCTACTTGTGTAACCTTCGTTTACGCGAGTTTTTGTATCGCTTTTGCTGAATGAAAATGATATAAACATCTTTGAGACAATCGAAACTCGGCATTTCAATACTTCAAACTACATCAGATCAGTAGTCGGAGAAGTCCATCTTCTAAATCTAATAAATGAGCTATTACTATTTCTGTCTATTTCTTTAGTATTTGACATAAGTATTCATGGGGGAAAAAATATAACCTGTGTAACCAAAACTTTGTTCACCAATTTCACCCGACTTAATTGCTTCCTTCAAGTATGGAAGAATTTGTTCATTGTTCTAAAGATAAGATCACATGCAAAACTGACTTGCATTTTTGTGAACTGTGATGAAAACAAGAAAATCTTTGCGTGTTGTTTCCGTCTCCGCCTCTTCTCTCGTAGTCTACTGTCTCTAGTGCAATCTTAACCTTCTATATTTGCAAGACTCAACCCAGTGCTACAAACAAAGGACAACGCTCGTCCAGACGTAGTTCGTAGTCCGTAGTCTCTGTATCTTAAACTCCCTATTGACGAGATCAAGCAAAACTAGCTACGAGAGAATCACAATTTGACTAACAATAGACGACTGCTTAACCGTGACAATAAACGGATCGAAACGCACCAATTACTGATTACGAGTCTTCATAGCCAATAACATCACGGCTTAACTGACAGACGACCAATAACATCGCGACGTAATTGACCAATCAGATCAATAACCAGAGTATAATACCATCAACTGACATGATACAACTCACTTTGACTCTGAAGATGACTACCGCACAGGTTGTCGAAACGTCAGTCACTGTCAACAACAACAGTCCTATTCAGGACTACGTTCACCCGGACGATCAAACTCAACCTACTTTTGTCATAAGGTAACAAGATTTGTTGTTGAAATTGCTCCTGGATACATGACATGTTGTCAAAGTAATTTCTTTTTACTTGCTTATAGAAACGAACTTCTAGTGCCAGGAACCCACAAATGGCGAAAATGGAACAATCGAAAGAGCCGAAAAGTTTTAATTGTAGGCTATAAACGAAGCCGGAATCGGAGCCATTGTTATGAAATTGTATGACTAAACGAACTAAGGACTAACTAAAAATCGTGCATTTACAACGGATATAATCAATTTTTCAGATCCTTTACTTAATTTTAGCTTCATTTAAAGGCGCTTTCATCCTTCTCCTACGTTTCGATTATACCACGTACCGAAACTACAAAGAGAAGTCAGGCGCCATCATTTCTCTACAAATTTGACTTACGCAAATTTGTAACATTTTGCCACTGTTGGTCACGAGACTTTTCATTTTGTAAAGGCGAATCTGAAGTACCCAGATTTTTTATTTCATATTCTGTTAATATAAGAGCTGAACTTTGTCCTAGTGTACATTTTGGCTGGGTATCACACATGCCAAGGTGGGTTTGTTGCTCACTTTTTACCCATTTTAAAAAGTGCGCTTGGTGGTAGTTTTTAACAAACGGTAAAAAAAAATTTAAAATCATGTTTATGGTTTAAAACATACCATGGATAGAAAGAAAAGATAGAATGCTTTTAAGCAAAAATATTTCTGTTTTGTAGCTTTGAATCTTGCCTCGGTACAGACGCGATAAAGTAGGTCATTTTACTCTAATTTTTGCATACTTAATTGCTTTTTTCCTCATTTTCTCGAAAACTATAGATTCATGAAAGTTAAAAATATTTTTTTCGAAGATAGTTCCTCAAAGGGGTTTTTTCTGACAAATTATCAGAATTTTCGAGTTTTTTAGCCTGGCCAGCGATTCTCGATATTTACAGTCATGGGCTCTTAAGCTCCCTATCTACTAGCACTGTATGACTGAGTGAGACAAGGGTCGGAATAATTTTACTCCCGTTTTTTCCAAGGAAGGCAGAATTTGAGCAAAACGCAAGTGAAATTATTCCCTAATTAACAATTATTCCACGAGTGGGCGTTGGATATCAGATGGTAGATTGCAAACGAGGAGCGTAGCGCCGAGTTGGCTATAATCATCTCACATCCAACAAGCGCGAGTGGAATAATTATTTTTAATTATTTAAAACGTCCACAAAATATCGAGAATTGTTCCCGACTTATTTGTAAAAACAGCCAATTTTCAGCTTGTTTTTAATTTTGAGCAGACGCGTACAGTTATCATATTTAATGGCTCAGCTCGAGAATTGCATTATCCAATGATTCAGTTTTTAATAATATAAAACAATCCCCCAAAGGGGAGGTGAATAGTGGTGGATATATCTAGCGCTGTTCACCGACCCTGAGGGGGGTAGTTGTTTTACTATTTACTAAATCAGTTGGATAAAAATCAAAAAGGAACTTTTTGTAAAAAAAAAGACGTCACTTAGCTATAGTTCCTTTACGTTGCAATTGACAGTGTTTCGGAGATCAATTTTATGATTTTGTTGCAAATTCAGTACGGAAATTTTTTTCCACCGACCGAAACGCCAACGAGCCAAATTTTGTCTCTTTCTTGGTATTTGTTGGTGCAGCTGCTTCATTTACCGCTAAAAGTTCATCTTTCGAAACTATCGGAAAACGAGAAGCCATTTTGATTCCCGTCCCAAAACAGTGAATATCCGATGATAGTCCGAGTTACGGGAGCCAATCAGAACGCGCGAAAGTCGTTATCCACTGATTTGGTGAATACTAATAAGGATTTTAACATAGAGGACAAAACTGCAATCGGCGACAAAATTGTTGAGACATTGCACTCAAATAGGGAAACTACATAGAACAAAAGAGTCCATCCCCCGCCCCGCCTCTCCATTCAAAGTTGGGGTGTTTGTAGTTTTCTATAAGCAGCTCGAACTGCGGCACAACATTGCATGGACGGGATGGGGAAAGAAAAGCTTTATTTTCCCCTCTGGAAGTCAGTAAAATATCAGAAAGCCCCTCTAGGGTGAAGTGTCTCAATTAATTTTGTCGCCGATTGTGGTTGATGCTGATTGACCGACTTAAGAAGAGGATTTATTATAAATCACGAGATACCTTTTGACAATTAATAAGGCATGTTTAGTTAGATGATATGTCGTACATCAGAATTTCTCTTTGAGACAAGTTGGTTTGCTGGATTTTGGACAAGATCCAAAATTACCAAGGGAGTGCTAGCGTGATCAATTATTGTAAGTTAAAAAATTCCTTCAAAATCTTTCTAAGTTCATTGTTGATGCATCTTTCTAATTCCAAGAAATCACGGGTGAGTTAAGTACAGATGGCAATGGGCTTTTTCTTAGTACTGAAATAAATATAGACACAAACACCACGCATATCGTTAGCCAAGCAAAATATTTATTGCATTCCTTTTAGACAAAACACGATGCCTGGCAATTTTCATAGCAGTTAGCCGTTTTAAGAATAGCCATTTATAATAATCGAGTTTTATCTTTAGTTTTATTATTTTTACTTTTACATCACTTAGCATGGTCGTTTAATCAAAGTGCGATTTAAGCATGAAAAACATTGAGAATCAACTCAAATCACCCGAATCAAGGATACTGTCATTTCTTTGCTAGTGTGGTTGACATTAAAGACTCGGCGTTATACATCATCGTTTGCCAAATTATCGGGGTGATCGCTAACATCTTTAGGTGGTCTGTAGGAAACAAACAGAAGGGTTATTGGTCTGGAACGAAGGACACATGCTCATTTTTCACATTTCAGTCAACTGTCTCTTACCGGACATCATACTTGGACGGATACTTAGTGCCTGTCACAAAAAAATCCGTCTTTTAACTAGAAAGAGTTGACTGTACTTCAGGATTTCTTCTAATGTTTATTACGCATTTTTTTTGCAAATTTTCAAAGCAAGTTGTTGAGGATTTCTAATCAACTAGTATAGCACGCAAGTGAATAGTGCTTTTCGCACGCACTGGTTGGCTAGTTACACTATTGACCTTTGAGCAGCCGAAACGAATTCAAAAATGGCTTTCCATTTCGCCTCGGATTCCGCAGACAAATGATTTTCAATAAACTAAGAGACTATGCTCAGAAAAACACAAGAGCCAACGCGGTGTACTTTAACAGTATTTGAATGAGTAAGTTTGAAAATCTTTCAAACCTTAAATTCTTGTGCGAAATATCAAATTACAATGCTATGTTTACGAAACTGGGAAGCAATACTTTTCCAATGAAAACAATGAATCGTCTATGGTTTTGCAGCATGGTTTCAACAGCAAGACGAATTTCACCAAACAATTTAAAGAAATGACACAGGAAAAACTTAATAAGTGCTTTCAAAACTTTAATTTGTTTTTCTGTGAGAAAGCGTCGCGGGTTTTTCTACAATGGCCGTTTTTATGCTAGAGGACTTAAATGTTACCGCTGATGTATCATAGCTGTCTGGAAAGATTAAAAAAATAATTGTAATAAGGCAAATGATGAAATATTATACAACTAGTATAGGCCTTTTTCAAAAATACCATAATCATACTCTTCGTTGTTCCCCCAAATTTTGAATTTTTCATAAGCATTGTTTTTAATTTCCCTTGGGACTTACAATCGCCTTAAGAGAGCTTGAAAACAAGGCTTATGAAAAAGGCCTATTGGATATTGCCTTTTTTGGTACTTATGACGTCCTGCAAAGTGATCGCCACCTTAACCGCAATCGTGAAATTTTGCTGCAATTCAGATAAACTAATTTTCGCGCTCCGCTTTTAAGTTATGTTGAAAAGGATTTTGCAGCGTTCAAGTGCATTTTATCTCTTTCTTGAATTAACAAGTCAAGAATGTCGCATTTAATGAAGTCATATGCTTAAAACCAGTAACCAAAGTCGGCCACAAAATTTGGGCAAAACTTGTTTATGGAATAGACCATCAGCTTGTTAAAGGCGCAGGTTATTTGTGTAAACCAATCACTTTCAAAATATGGAAGATAAGAAACCTTAACAGGGGTAGCAGGCATTCTCCTGACTTCAAGACAGGGTTTCTAAAAAATGCTAGCTTACTATGTTCGCTACATTCCTGTAGCCTTTTACTTCATAAGAAGGGGACATTTTCAGAAGAACAGTTACCGCGGGTAGACAGGGAATTCCACCTTAAAGCTGCTTACCCAGATTCGCCTTCCCTTTGTTTTACCCATGCTTCAAGACTGACTGCTGGTAGAGTACTGCACGCAACTCCTCTCTCACTCTGTTCGAGAACCTTCCTGCTTATAAGTGGGATGTTGTCGGCATTGTCGCAGATAATTTTAGCAAATGTTGTTTTCCTAATTTCCTTTAGCATGGCAGCATTGAACGCCGTTCGATCAGTGTTCAAACTTGGGTTTGGGGCATTTTCGTGCCAGAAACGATCTCCAACTCTGAGGCGGCGGAACTGCTCCGCTACAATGCACTGAAAAGTAGGTCCCAGAACTCCTCCATCACTAGGTCTCGGTTCAAGCATTCCTGAGAAGGGGTGCAATTAAAAATAAAGCTTACATCATCAATGTGCGTATATAAGAGAGAAGACAATGGTTTTAAACTTTTCCCTCAGGGTCTTATTCTACGTTCAGAATCCGATGGTCAGGAGAGATCCCTAAAATAAACGGATTTATCAATAGTTCAAGCACAAGATATCCAAGACTGACCCAGTGGTGAAAATATGGTGTAACTTTTAGAACGAGCTGAAAAACCTCCAGAACCCTAACCCAGCCCACTGTGAATTAATTACGATATTATAATATAAAAGTCTGTATGTGGGCAGGTCAGCAAAATCACTAAGCAGAATTTCGCGGCATTTAACCAGGACGTTTTCACATCGTTGCGCGAAATTAAGCTCAGTCAGGGTTTCAGAAGGGCAACAAAATTGAAAACGACCCCCAAACCGTCGAAAGCAGTCACTTTTTGACAGTTTACATGCTTCTTACTCTGTTTCGTAATAGCAAGGTTATTAGTTATTCTTGGTTTAAGGCCAAGTGACATGGCGGCCATGTTGGTGGTCAAGACAATAAAAATTATTTCAAAGAATTTACGTGAAAATGGAGTTTAGTTCACAGGGGAGAGAGATGCTTTTGTTCTTGACCACCAACAATAGCCGCCGTGACAATGGCAATGTAAAAGTGAAAGGTATGATATTATATTACTCACCAGCAACAAAAAAGTCAATATCATGAACATTTCTGTAAATTGCCCTCAAATTAGCTACGTCGCTCGAGGCAAAGCCGGCGTTTCGTTCCAAGTCATCGAACGATCTCACCTTTTGCAGTCCGCATAACCGAAGGTTGCGATACTTAGTGTATCCTGGAACTCCACGTTCACGTCCTCTTTGGATGTTGATGCTGATTAAATCAGACAAATCGCTCTCACCCCTTCTTAGGTTTTCTTGCACAGAGCTCGAAAATCTCCTGTTTTAAATAGCAAAATCCATAAATCTGAAAAATGTTTACCATTTATGCGACCTTAACCACTTGCTCTTTTTTCTGTTGAACTCCATGTTTTCTACTATTTAACAAAGGTTTACTGAAACTTGGCAGAAGATGTTGTACCCGCAAACTTCGCCCTATTTGTCAGATCTTTGTTAAGGTATCATCCACCCTTAAGCACCCTCCCCGCGTTGATCGGCGCTAACGCTTTTGCTTTTAATAAATACCCCCATAAACCGTACATTTTCTGAAAGCTTAATAGTTCCAGATTATTGCTTATTCCTTTTAAAAAATCAAAATATTAACGCGATTCAGAAATGAGAGGCTTTTTGTGAAAGTGGGTGTCGCTGTAAATTTAAGTCCAGGCCAGCCAAAAATAAACGGAAGAAGCCAATTAAGATCGCATTCGCTTCTTAACACGTTTGACTAAAAAACCGTGTCTCAGATTTTTGTCAAGTGGTTTTGTTCTTTTGTTATAAGCAGTTGAAGTTAGGGATAGCAAATCATTAGCACTACCTGTGAAAAAAATACTCTTACTTGAAAACGAAAAAAGAAATCAAAATTCGCAGACACGGTTTTTTAGAAAAACTATCTGATAGTAAGTTGGCCAAATTTCAGCCAAATTGGTTCACGGGTTGCCGACTTGGAGTTTAAAACGTACCCTCAACTTCCTCTGATTTTCATTTCGAGAAAACAGGGGAAAAAGATTTTTGGCGGCGTATTGCCCGTGACGAGATTATAACAGATTATAACACCAAAGCTGTCAATGTTGATGCATACCAGAAAAGGGACAACAATAGTGACACAGCAGGAAAAGGTTACAAACGAAACCCAACAACAGATAAACAATTTATTTCGAACGCTCTGCTCTGTTCGATTCTTCTGTTGTCGAGAAAGCATCTTTAGTTATTTGCGACAGGCAGTTTTCATTTTGAGCCAAGCCAACTTTTACTCGATACATTTTCTAAAAGTTCGACACTTCCCTGGAAAAATCGACAACAAACCGCTTCCTGGAGTTTTTCTTGAAGCTGCTCTCCCGCTACAATAGACTTTCAAAAAAGTCCTTTGTCCGATTTTTATATGGCGCGGGACCGGTCGCGAATTTGTCGCTTGCTTGGCCGCTTCGCGACCTAAAAAAGCTCGCTCCGCTCGCTAAGAAACTCGTGAAACGCATTTCGCGATAGTTTCAATAGGTTTTTCAGAAGCTTTGTCATCTTTTAGCCATTTTTCTTGATTGTAGTAGGAGCCCTTGTCACTCTCTTTTAATTTCGAAACCCACACTTTGCAAAACGATTTTGTCGTCTTCTTTCGTCTTGAAGTCAAGGACGAAAACGGACGAGCTCTTTTTTCTTCTTTGGAGGCATTCACTTCCAAAATCCAGGGAAAGACTGTGAGCAATACTTGTAGACCACGATTTCTGTCAAATTGCGTGATTAGCTATGACAGGACTTGTCAACGATCAATTAAAATAATTAGCATAGAAAAAACTTTTGCGCTCCATAAGTGTGCACAGAAAAAACATTTTTTCTGGAATTTTTTTTTCAAAGAAAGCTCTTGATGAGCTCTACTTAATCATCTAAAAATTGAAAATTTCGAAAAATGAGGGGTTTTTACCCTGGATGATACCTTAAATGGAGAGGGGAGGTTGTTAAGACCCTCATTAACCCATCAAAGTACCACTTAATTTAGTAATCGTATGACCAAAACAAAAGTGCAATCTCGTAAAAGTCATATGCAGCTTTCCGCCATTACAGAGGGACCAAACACGGCATGAAACGACCACTTACTGCAGCAAAATACAACTTTTATACTAAAGGTAAGAGCAGGCTATTGTTTGTTCTTAACTGAGGTAACGTCGTGGTGTCTTGGGCAATCAAAACATCGCAAAGAATAAGTTCAACGATACCTAGGGCGTGTTCGATTGACTGTATTACGGAATAACAATAAATGGAATAGTATTACACGGAGCACCGAATTATCCATTTCCTCTTTAACCGCGGGAGAGTACATTAACGCCGATGACGTCAAAGCCTTTTTTGCCTTTATCTCATGTTTAAAATGCCGGGGAATCTCATTCAGATAATCTCATATGCTATTTTTAGGTGATTAACCGATCTGACATGATTTTTAGTTATTTTCAGATCAATGAATGTCTTGGATTTTGATTGGTTGACTAAAAAGTAGGAAAATATTTACTGGTTGATTTTTGTTGCCGAAGGAATAAGCAAGAACTCGTCTGTGACTTGAAATTACTGAGCCGTAAAGTAATTATGCAATTCTATTTCTTGCCGCTTTCATCGTCCATTGCAGAAAAAAAAGCAATATTCCAGTTCCGCGTCACTCCTTCTTACCGCGCGAATTGTGCTCAATCGTGAGGGCGAAGGCAGACTTAATCTTTCAAGTTCCTGCTTCTCCGCAATTCAGTTATTTCGATCACTCCTTTTCAAATCTAGTTGGAAATTTAAAGCTTGCTTGTAGATAAAGAGCCCGCATTTGTCATTTAAGTAAGTTTTCATTCACTTACCCTTGCAGATCTTTGCATTCCCCTTAAATTTCTACTATTTTTAAGAGAAAGTGAGAGGGGAGCAGCGCTTGTTTGATATTATTTGTCTAGGGGTGGGCGCTTATTCAAAGAAGAACGGTATTTATTACGTACCCGTCAAGCTTTCCCGCGGGATCCTTAATTAATCCCCTCAAAATGGCATCTACACCTCCCTGACATGTCTCGTATAAGTACTGTGGATTTTCAAAGTCCAGCACGGGAATGGGCCGAAATTCTGATTCTGATTCAGTGCTTTGGAAACTACGTTGATTGAATCGTCTAAACCACTCCTGAATCAAGGTGTGACCAAATCGGTAGGCAGCCACGGAAAAGCCAGCGGTCATTTGAGCATTAACTCTTCTGTTGTAGCCATTGAAAAACCTCGTTCCTGTGAGTAGCTCGAGACCAAACTTTGCGATCTGTGCATTGTGGAGAAGAAAAAACAAAACAACAAGAACAAACAAGAACAACAGTTGCTTTAGTTGTAATCAGAGCAACATGTCAAACTGTTAAATTTAGAGCAGGTCAGAGCATTCCTTTTTATGTGGTAAGGAAAATAAAATAAAAATAGGGCAAGCAACAATTATATTTTACACGGCAGACATAGAATCCTCCAAATGAAATTAACATTCAAATAATGTGAAACCACATACTGTGAAAAAGATTCGCATTATTATGGCACGGCTTCTACTGTGCACCTTAACTCGTATAGAGGTTTAGTACATGACTTTCTCATATGTACTATGCTGCTGAAAATGGACTTTACTTCTGCCAGTTTTAATGCTTTAAGATTCAGCTTGAGTGGGGTCAAGGTAATTCTCGTTTTTTTTTTTTTTTTTCAGAATCAGGTTTTTCCCGACTACCCCGACTAGCACAGCCTCAAGTTATAGCGGAGTTCCACAGACGCGCTAGCGGAGCCCCATAGCTAAGAAAATTTGGTCATCTATCCATCCGAGAAATTTACCAAACGTCACTTGACCATACGTCCGTCTGACCGTCTGTCCGTCTATCCGTCCGTCCTTACCACGGGGCAACCAATATGAATTCGCACACTTTCTAGCTAGCGTGGGAGCCTGCAACCTGATATTGCACACCCAAAATTTGGTCAGTTGACAGCTGTCAAACCAGGATATCTGCTGACCAGTATCAGATGACCGTATCGAGGTGTTGACCCTTCAAGGTTGCGTGTTTTTTGAAGTTATCCGCTGACAGGTTTCCAGTTTTCAACTGTCCCAGGCTCAAATTCGAGTAAATTATAATTAGAATTATTATTATTATTATTATTATTATTATTATTATTATTATTATTATTATTATACCTGCAATTTTGCATGTTAAAAACCTACCGTTCTCTTACTCAAAACTAACGGCAGGAATTCCTTGTATGTAATCACTTGCAATTGTGCTGCGATGATTCTCCTGGTCTCCTGATAAATCCTCTCGGGCCCCCAGCTTGTTTTGCTCCGGAAAATAGTGGCAATGCGGTTGTGGTGGCGCACGAATATGGTATGAACTGAACTGAGACCTGAAAGTTACAAAATATCCCTAAACTAAAGCTTCTGTGTTGAAAAAAGTCAACTTTTGGCATATTTCACTAAGGCCATTGAACATCAAAGCAATACGGTTCCCACCTTGGTTCTCATTATTCCTTGTGTCTCCAGCCGCAAAACACGGTCTGTTTGGATCTAGCGATGGGCAAAAACTCTCCGGGGTCTCGGTGCGTGCAGGTTGCAAATCCATAAACCTTTCACCATCTGGATGTTCCATGACTCTTAGTAAGCCATTTGGAGCGCGAAGCGAGTCAGCAACCTCCTCAATTGATCCATATACGTTAGAAGCGTCAATGTAGGCTGTTAGAGTGTTTGTATGCTCTCGAGTGGCCAGTTTGCAGAAGGAGGTTGACTTGCTAGGAGCATCCCTCTCCAGTTCGATAAAATCAACTTCCCGATTCCGGAATATTGCATCGCCTATGGGAATTCTTATGTTGATGCACTCAGGATTTCTGGTGGGTGGCTCGCAGTTAATGCCTTGGCCCTGAGCCAAAGTAAGATCGTGATCCATAAACTGTGCAAAAACCATAGCCATGTGGGTCAGTATTGTAGAGTTCGGATTGGTTCGGTCCATGTTGCTTCCATGGGCAAATCGACTTACGTCCCGCGCGTTCGGAAGCTTTCTACCATTTCTCGCTCGACGAAGAGTTGAGATGCCATCTCCATAATCAGCAGGTAAAAGTCGGTTGAATGTTGTATTGGCTGCCCCGTAAGAAGGATTACGTAAATTGTTGCACCTTCCATCAATGGTTCGAAATGGTGCATTTGGATTACATCGTCCGTTGATTGCATATACAGGGTAAACATTAATCGCTTCTCGGACGAGTTTTCTTCTGCACGTCCTCCTTCTTACATACCTGATAAGCAGACAAATGAGATAACAATAAAGACCACGAGAGAGTTCAGAAAACAGATTTAAAAGTTTGGATCAATTTAGGGAAACTGCCCACCTACCCCTCCCCTAACCCAACATTTTTCCCCAAGTGAGACGCAAATGTTGACGTTGAGTTCGGGGAGGCGTAGGGGGGCAGTTTCCCAGAAACCTAAATTGATCCGGGGATCGATTTAGGTTTCTGGGAAACTGCCCACCTACTCCTCCCCCAACCCAACATTTTGTCCCAGGTGGCAAGGATAGCTTGAGAAGATTTCTAGAATCTTGAAGAAGGTTTAGTGGTTCATAACCCAGGGTTCTAGAATTTAACGATCCGTTTGCCCGTTTGCGTTCTGCGAAGGCGAAATATCGCAGAAGTAACTTATCATGACAGGCCCAACCGAAATTCTGCCCTAACTGGCCCCCTACATATACGATTTTTTTATTTTTGTAGCCATCTGTGGAATAGATTAGAGCGCGACCTACTTCAACGGGCCGCAGATCGTTTGTTTTGCTTCCTCTTTTTTTTCTTTTTTTTAACCGATTACATGGGCTAAATTACTTACAAGGGGAGTCTGCCGTTGATATTCAACAACCTTTGAATCCGTCTTTGTTTGCAAAGTTCATATAGGAGACAAGTGCTGCATCTTTCACCCTTTTTTGCTGTCAGCCAGTCGGCGTCCCCTATAAAGCTCTTTCCTCCATGTACAAATGCCTGGTAATATTTTCTCATGGCTGTTTGTCGTTCCCATTTTCGGCTCCTTGGTCTCACGTATATATATTTGCCAATAATGTTGGCAAGACGCCTAGCCTCACTTAGTATTTGGCGTTTTCTGAAAGGTGGAATATTTATTGCTGCCACTGGATCCCCGGCCAACTTCTTATTGTCGGTTTCACCAAAATCATCGTCGTCTTCTTCAGACAGGTTGTCATCGCTAATTTCATCTAAAGCAGCGATCTCATCCAGCGTTACGACTTCGGGTTCGGCTGTTTCCATGTCTTCGACTGAGCCTTTATGATCAGGTAAGTTAGAGAACGCCATTCCCAGGCTCAACAATACCACTAACTGACATACCAGAGAGCGGGTCGTCATGTTTAACTGAAGTGGATAGACGAGGTTTATATTAGTGTATGACGAAAACCAGCGCAAAATGATAATGGTGATAAAAACTGACTTTCTGGTGTCATTATGACGCCGTTGTTTAGGTATAGAATGTAAGACGGTAATGGTATATTGTAATAAAGCCAAGGAATGACAAGTCTCAGTCCATAATATGATATAAAATAATGTTTAAGTAGCCTTAAAGCAAAAGAAAAATTTTGAGCTGCAACAGTCTTTTCTAATCAGTTGTTATTCATTTATTCTCAATCCACATTTAGGGAAAATTTTGAGACGGTCGGTTGGTTACCACACGTATCACGTCATAAGCAACAGAAGATCAAGTCCTAAAACGACTTTTTTTGCACTTTTTTGAGCTTGGAAGTGCCAAAAAGAGCAGGGTTAATTATAACCTGTTGATACCCCACGTACATTTATTTTTACTATTTCCACACTTTTTCCAACATGGCAGCCATCCTAGATTTTAAGCAGGAGTGAGTATTTAAATGATAATTTCGCAGGGCAGATTTCAGATTTGTCTGGTTCTCGAGTTCACAATCAAGGCGTTATGATGATTTCAAAAGGTTGATAGAATAATTACTGATTGATTGACGATTGAACATTTTTGTATTGAGTTCACTGATTGACCGATTGCTCAGTAAAAGCAAATGCTGGACATGGGTGATACTCAGAGAACTTCGGAACCAAGAGCCGACCCTGTACAGCTGTCATTTTGTTTAACGTTACCGAGAGCAAAAAAAAAATCACAACAATTTATCGTTTAAGCATTCCATGTTTTCTCTCACCTTTGAGGCTTACTTGCAATACTTTTCCAAATGGTCAATGCAACGAGGAAGTGTTCTGAAACCGCTGAATGGAGAAAGGAATAGCAAACCGCTGAATGGAGAAAGGAATAGCTCACTGTCATTATGAGGAGAGATAGGTAAAATGACATCATTTGTGGTATAGATAACGACAAATAACTAAAATTACCACAATCCTCAAGTTTGTTATTTTCATGTACAAATCAGGGCAACTATTTTTAAAATCTTACCAAGATACTTACAATAAAGAAAATATAATATATATATAAAATTGTATTCTGGTCGTTGTAGTTAACTGGCGTGATCATCAAGAAAATGGCCGAGGTATCCATGTTAAGTTGTTAATTCAGAACACTTAGTATATATCGTACCTAAAAAGACTTTTCATAGTTATACTGATTATAATATTTTCAAATTTATTTCCCCGAATTACAGTCAATGGGATTTCCCCAGGCTACCGTAAAATTCCGAAATTAAGCCCCGGGGCCTACATTTTTCAAAGGCCATTTTTGAGGGGCTTATCTTTGGAGGGAAATTTGCGTCTCAAAATTGATTGGGCTAGCCTTACAGTTTGAAGGAAATTTACCGTTTTTGCTTTGTTTTACTTTGTATTAATTTGAGGGTAATTTCCAAGTACAAGCGCCCGGGAGGCTTATGTTTGGAGGGGCTTATAAATGGAGGGACTTATTTTCGAAATTTTACGGTATCAGGTTTAGGAATGTTTTCATCTATCTATTACCCTTCTGGATGGACACCCTACTTCATGTTAATTAACAAAAGGAGTAACTTAATTAAGTACTATCAGTCAATAACAGATGGTTCAGCTAAAGTAAAAGAATTTGACACTGAAAAGGTAACTAATTTCAAGTTTGAACTGGAGAGACAATTTTACCGAACACGAGACTCAGAGACTCAGTAAAACCAAGTTTTTGTGTGTTCCTTGTTGTGGTGAAATGAATGACCTTACGTTTCATGTTAGGTGTCGTTTAGGCTTCTATAATAACACTTTCGATTATTCTTTACAGTACAGAAATACGTTAAGCTCTATGATCTAAATTGCCTAAGTGAATAAATGAGTTATCTTTCAGATTGTACTCTATTGCCTAAATGCAAACCCAGGGTGGGGGGGGGGGGCTGGGCACGAGTTTGTTCATTACGGGATAGGCAACAAGAGATCAGAGAGACAGAAAGAGGAAACCGATATTTGTAAAATTCGCAAGTTTGGTGTTGATTAGGTCTATACTGAACAAGATACAGCTATTCAAAAACTAAAAAAATTACTGAGAGGAATATAGACGTCCGGACAGTGTGTCCAGCAATCCATACATCTCTTACTAAATTCTTAAGTTTTTAAATAGCTGCATCTTGTTCAATATTGGCCCGATTGCAAAACTCAACGCACTCGTACACAGCCCTGCTCGGTTTAAAATTTGGCAATAAAAGCATTTAAAATTGAAGGCAAGGCTGATCAGACAGCTATGGATAGGTAATTTATTTGCCCAATATTTCGAAACTAGCCCTGATGAAAGGTGGTTTTGTCTAGTCGAAATATTGGGCAAATAAATTACCCATCGATAGCTGTCGGATCAGCCCTGCCTTCAATATTTTAAGTGTTTTTCTATATTGCTGATCCTGATCTACAGCCAGATTCGGCTTTCCCTTGCTGCTGTTTGTCCAAGTGGTCCTGGAAAGAATAGTTCGCTAACAAAAGCATTCCTCGCAGGCGTTATTAAGTCAATCGTTCCCTTTCATGAGTTGCGCGACGTGCTGCGTAGTGCATAAGAACTCATATCTTATATATACCTGATTAAGAAAACGTTGTCGTTTAAGTATAAACCATGAACGATAAGGCCTCAAGGATTCAAGGGTATACGCTCATTAAAGCTCCCTTTATTAAACTCTTTAAATTTGTAATGCTAATAAAGTTCTTCCCATAATTCCATTAGGTCCCATCGTTCATGGTTTATATTTTTCAAGCGACAACGTTTTTTTTTTTTTTAATCAGGTGCAATATATGCTGTTACTAAATATAGTGTATAAATATTCGTGATATTTTTAGCCTCCTTAATGTTGTAGATATCATTTCACTTTTTTCAGTTTATTGATATAGCCATTTATGTAAAATGTGATCCAGGTGGGTTTAACTGACTTGTATCATTTTCATAACAGGTATGTGAACGACTATTTATCAAAAGCGAGCACTGGAGAGAAACACGTTCAAACACTTGAAGATCCAGACTACCCAATACAACCTAAGATTTCATGATACTTGCGTTCTTTTAGTTTGATTGTACACTGGTTTTCCAGTGGCTTTGATTAACTTTAATTTGCATAATTATACGAGTGTTTCCATTTATTCTTAAGAGTTCACTTATACGAATTGGAAGGCCAACAGTATTCGTCCCGTGTGAGTTCGTTCCCTTTTTTCGATTTGTCGCTCGTCTCGTCGTTTGGCGTCTTCGATGTTTCGCTTCGGCTATTTGACGAACGAGGAAAGGTATAATTCGCCCATAATTTACATGAAGTAGTTGACTTCCTGGGCAATATGGCGAACTCAAGGGCTGAAGAAATTGAAAACCTACCTTCGCCAGGGTGTACAGTGAATTTCAACCGCGTACACGAACAGTTCGATGAGAGTGAGTGTGAAGCGAGCTATCTCATTACACATTTTAATAGAGTGATATGTTTTCTTTCACGAGCGTCTTCGTTATTTTTCGTTCCCACCGAGTTGGAAAGTTTGACGCTGAGAGCTCATCAAATAACTGTTGCCGTTAAGTTAGTGTTGATTTAAGATCATTTGAAAAACGATTGTTCGAGTTTACAGGATGTCGAGGGCGTCCCATAATAGATATTCCAAAGGAAATGCTAGAACGTTATCTTGAGCATCATTTCACTTCTGTGCAAATTGCCCAAAGCTGTTTTCTGTGTCGACAAAAACGATTAGAAGAGGCCTTGAGGAGGCATAGCATCCCATGGTCCAATTTTACATCCGTCAGACAGCTATGCTTTTTAACATGAAGCTGAAATCCTCAAGGCGTCTTCTAATCGTACACTGTTTTTTACGCGTTCAAAATGAACTGTACACTCTGGCGGATGTAGGCTCAGTTCAATTCTTCAGCCGTTGAAAAGTTCTCCATATTGCCCAGAGAGTCGACCACTTCATGTGATTCATGAGTGAATTATACGTTTTCTTGTTTCCGGGTTAGACAGTGTACCGTATTTTGACAGGCCATTTTTAAATGGCCTGTCCATGATCTTGTGCTTGTGATTCCCCTCCACCCTTTATCAAAGTTGCTAGCAATACAAAACCATGCTCAAGACTTGGAGGAACATCTTGGAATGGAAGGGAGGAGGGAGGTCTGTATTATATCTCACAGACCTGTGACCAGGAGCGATTTGAAGCAAGAAAGGTCGTTTTTTCTTCGGAGTGTCTCACTATTTTTGCAACTGGTTGTAGCGCGGTCAAATAAGCGAAACGAAACATCGAAGAGACGAAACGACGAGAAAACATTAGGAAACGGCGAAATTAAGAAAATTGGGGGACAAGGTGACGGAACGAAGCCAAGAAGTGACAAAAAGAAACGACGAAACAACGAAACGAACATTTTGTCCACGGGGTTGACTTCATAAAATTCTGACCCAGTTAAGGACAACTGTTGGTAATCTTGCTTTTGTGTACTCGCGACTCCACTTATATATATATACATATCTCCAGAAATACACGAAATGCGAATCTAGCAAAGATCGCCAGAGGGTTGGCGAAAATTTAAAATAGATTTCAAGAGGTGTTCCTTGTGTAGTGGCCTTGTTGACGTAAATGGCAAATGTGACAAAAATAGCAAATCTGGCGAAAATAGAAAATTTGGCATGCGTTTGGCAAATATTCCAATTATATTGGAGAGTGGCGATTTTGACGAAAATGGCGAAAACGTGTTAGCAAGGGTGAATCTGGCCAAAAAATCGCCAAAGGTTTGAAAAAAATTTAAATGAAATTCTATTTCAGGAATTGCTTCTTGGACATACCTCGAGATTTGGGCTAGCTCCTTACTCATGCAAAATATTTTAGTTAAGCCTTAAACGGACACAGTCAGCTGATGCACATGCGCATTAGATACCATTTCTTAGCTGATTTGCATGTCACAAGACATGTACGTGAAACAGAGAGAGAGAAGGGTATCCGGAATACTCAAAACAAACTTTGTAAAGATGAACTAGTTGCAAGCCCAAATCGTGATTGTAGACCTTAAGCCACATCAGAGCACACATTTTTTTATATACCACTGAGAATTCACGGATGGATTTGTCCAGGAAAAGCCAAACATCGACGAACACTTCTGAATTCGATTCAAGGTCGAGTCAAGGTCGAGTCAAGGTCGAGAAAGCTTGATTTTCCGAACATATGTAACCTTTTCCATCGATTTTCGAAATACATATAACGATTATTTGCCCGCCAATGTTATCGATTCATTTCTTTTGTTATTTTGGTAAACGAAAGCGATTTCTCCCGCCCGGTGCCTACGCGTTTCTCACCTCCTCTGTTCATGTTCCTTTGGATTCTATGATGAAATAATGCCATAGGATGAGTTAAAGTTCGCTAAAAAATAGGTTTTCTGTAAAAGATCGAGGATCGAATGAAACACTAGGCAAGATTGGAGCGGATTTCTAGATGTAGCCGACGCGTTCAATTGATTTCGGGTTGAGGAAAACTCTTTTCAAACTGACAATACTAGTGTCCAGGTCAGCGCGGTCCCATAGCTGACTGTGTCCCTTTGAAATAAAGAGGGGTGTCTGGAAGTACAATACAAACTATCACGAGATACTCCCAAAAACCAAGCTATTGCCAGTTTCTCACTTTACAAACCAAATGGTCTAAAGTTTCATTTTAGATTTCTAGAGACAGTGTAATATTTCTGTTAATGATTTTGTCCTGCATAGCATTCAGATTTGTATAATCCGCAAGTGCCGAGTGGTTATTTAAATTGCCTTTGTAAATAATGGGTCAACTCGAAGTTTCTATTGTGGCTTCGTCACCCCTATTATTTTAGCCTGCCATGAAGACGTTGTACGGGCTTCATCACCCCTTCCAACGCTCACAACGTTAACACTTAAAACAACTGGAATCCGTTTACGCTAAATGTTTCGCTTCGCGGAAAATCTTTAAAAAAAATAATAGATGTTGTTACCAAATAAAGCTCGTAAATATTCGTGATATTTTTAGCAATCTTGATTGGTACTTGACATTTCATTTTTTTGTCAAGTCATAGATGACCGTTTAAATGGAAAAAGATCCACACAGATTTTACCATATGGTTTTATATATGTATATGTGTTCGGAAACGACTATCAAAAAGACTACTGCTTAGGGACTGATAAAAAAGTTAAAAGTCTTAAAGATCCGATATTTTGACTGCCAAATACAACAAGGGAGTGTTGTGAAACATCTCTAAGAAACCATATCGTTTTTGCTTGGTTTCATTTTGAATGCTTTGAATTTAGAAGAGTTATTTTTGGTTCATCAACTGTTTTGCACCATTAATAACAGAATGTCTAATAACTTGTAATCTTTCCCTCGAGTCTTTACCACGTCTTTGTCTAAGGATCTCCCTGATGTAGCTGGCAACACTACCCAAAGCTGTGTACGCTCATCGTTAACATCAGTGATGGCATTTCCCGGCCTACAAACCGAGCTGGATAGCCTGTAGCACTGGTGTCGTGACTGGCAAATGAATTTCTTTAGCTCCGAATGCCACGTTTTACCAGTATACTCTGAAGTAGGCGAAATTTTCTGGTATTTGATTATAAAAGAATTGGTTCACGGTTTCGACTGCTTCAGGTACATTGTAACTTCTCTTAAAAAGTTCACAGATAAAAATTATTCGTGAACTTAAATGGACCGATCGTACTGAGAATAATTATAATCTTTAGAGGTCTAGGCAATAAAACACTTAGATTTTTTTCGAAGACACACCTGCAGTAAACCTGACTGTCAAGCACTAGAAGACTGTTGTACCTTTCGTTTGGCAGATCTCTCCTCAGTTTTACATACGACCTTATTGTTATTTGCGCTAGCTCCTTGAGTCAATAGGAAGTATTTAAGCTGAAGCTGGAAGCTTTACAGAAAGGTCATTGGAGGGGCAATACTACTGTACCTAACAGGTACAGAAACTCACTAAAACCAAGAGACTCACTAAAACCAAGTTATCACCTGCTTCTTATTTTTAGTGAAATGAATGATATTACTTTTAATTTTAGGTGAAGTTTAGACTCCTATAATATCCCTTTTGATAATTCTTTACATCAGAAAAACAAAATCAGCTTTGCGCACAATAGCTCAGCATTAGATTTGTATCGGGAAGTACCGCACTAGATTGTTTTATAATAATTAAAATTGCTTACCTAAACAATGGAGTAATCCCCCTAGTTTCTATCCGTTCGGTTATCTCTATAATACAATGCTCCACGCAGACGTTGTTGTTGGTTTGAAACCGTTCCTTTTCCTTACTTGGCTGTTACAAAGTTAACATCTAATGCTCCTGAAAATCTGTTTGCACTAAATGCTGCGCTTCCTGAATACCTAATATATACAGCTGGAATATACGCTGTACTTAATCGTACTGCGTAAATATTCGTGATATTTTTAGCCTTCTTGCGTTGAAGATGTACTTTACATTTTTTTCCAGTTTGTAGATATAGCCTTTCAGACGAAATATGATCTACATGGATACAACTAGGTTATATCCTTTAAGGGTGTGTGAACAACTTCATTAAAAAAAACTACTGCAGGGATTGATAAAAAAAACGCGACAAGTCTCGATTACGATCTGTCCAATGCTCAATACAAGTGTTCTGAAATCTCTTTAGCGTTTCATATCGTTTTTTATTTCTTTTGGTTGACTGTACAGAGATTTCACATTGGTTTCAAACTTTGACCTTAGATATTTGAGTGTTCCTATCTCTCTGACGCACTTAATTAAGATGGCCAGTAATAGCGCATTTATTAGAGTATCTATGACTAGGAGTAATCGGAGCTTAACACAGTGCGTCCGATATGTTTGTTAGGCGTACAGGCGGGTATCAGTTGAGGGGGAAGATGGAAGGCTCTTGCGATAGATAAATATGATTATGGCATATGTTGAACGTAAGGGTTGCGTACAACGAAACCTCTAAACTGTTTACCATTATACGAAGATTTTGTAAAGATATCGTATGGTTCGGTGTGAAGTGCTTGTAATCGGAGGAGACAGTGGCCAGAGTGGGTCGGGCGTGTAAATAGAACACTTTAACCTTAAATTTGTTTTATCTGGCGCGATTACTGCGCGCAGTTGTTCAAAGGCCGATTAGCGCTTAACCCGGGATTTTTTTCTTTCTTCAAAAACATTTCTTCGGATAATTTTCTCTGTTATTTTTAAGAGCATCCAATCATCAACTTGTTGACAAAATGAATTAAACTGAATTTACTATTTTAA